TATATATATCGTCACAAACAGAACTGCCCTGTAAAACCGTAGGCAGAGAGAGAGAAGAGGACATATTTATATATATATATAAAAATATGTATATAAATATATATATATATATATATATATATATATATATATATAGTTTGTCACAGCCCCTCGTTTGTTGTCCTTTTCTCTCTCTCTACCAACGGTTTACCGGGTAGTTCTGTTTGTGACGATATATATATATATATAGCCTACTCCTTACTTCGTGCTTGTCTGACTCTCGGTGTTGTGCAGACCCTGACATTGACAATGTCACCGACAGGCGGAGACGCGGTCCCCGCTTGATCATCGCCCATTGCGGGATCTCCGCAGGGGACGCCCGATCCTTGCCAAAGAGTTGATCGATCTCCATGTGCAGCGCCGGGGTTGTTCGGTGTTTCACCGCACAGCGGTGGTACGGAGGTCCGGCTGGGGAAAGGGCGCCGCGGTACCATTTCACATGCGACTGACAGCGTCGTTGGCCTGACCATGACACCCATTTTGCCTTTTGCTGGTGTGTTGGGGGCTTCTCCGCTGGGTGTGGCCGGGGTTCGTGACTCGGCCACGTATGGAGGTGTGTATGGTGGTCCATTGCTGACATCCCCACTGCTGCCGAGACGGCTGGACTATGTGGCCACGATTCCTTTAGCACCTGTGTGGTCACATGCGGTGGCCCCGCCATGTCCCGCTGGAGACGGTTCTCTTTCAGGAGATCACAGCGACGCTTGGCGTTGTCCAACCATTTCACGTCCACGAGTCGTTGGCGCGGCGGCGGGTTCGTTTGCGGTGCCGTCTCAGACTCCCTTTGTCGATCCTAATTCCACACCTCCGTTTGACGATGTGGATAGCTCTGTGGCAGTCGGTGGCACGTCGTGTTCGGGCGGCAACAACATCGTGCGTGTGTGTGTGCAGGACGCATGTCGGAGACGGTTGTGCGCTCTCCGTGACGCTATGGTCGCCAGTGATGGTGACCAACGCGGACCGGTCAGCGACGTTATTGATCGGCTGCTCCACTGGTCCTTGCCAGCCATCCGTGCGGAGTTTTGTGACGAGGTAGCAGATGTGATTTCTTCCTCGTTGCCTTCTCGGGTGTGCGGTCGAGATTTCACGTTGCGTTATATGCTAGGCGATTCCGGTGTTGACTACGGTCATGCGCAGCTCTGTAAGCTGACGTTCGTATGCGACAAAAGATCCAAATGGACCTGGCACACGGCACTTGTGACCACGAACGTCTATCACTCGCGACTGATGCAGCAGCTCTTTCATGCGACAGTCACTGTCGGCCTTACGTTCACGCTCCTCGACAACTTTTGTGTTTGTTTAGGGATGTGCTCGGTGCACAAACCCACATTCTACAAGTTTATGCGCACAGAACCGAGGGGGGCGGAGGGGTGGAACGCCAAGGTCGTACGGCAGGGCATAAAATATTGCGAGCTTGCCATTGACACTTTGATACGCCGTGGTGAGCCAGTGACATTGATGGTTGATGGTCGATATGACTCTGCCAGAGGCGCGCAACATTGCACTTTCACCGCGATGGAGTACGAGACTCGGCTTGTTGTAGGTGTTCACACTCTCCGTCCGAAGATTGAAGGCAAGGCATCGAATGCGCTTGAGGTGCCAACCGTCGTGCAACTTTTGCGAGGGCTGATGGACAAGGGGTTGAAGATCCGGAGCATTGTCTCGGACGATTGTGCCGCGCTGGGACCGAAGTTGCGAGGTATGAACATCGAGTGGCAGAAGGATTGCCACCACAAAATAAAAAGCATTCGCAAGCACTTCCACAGTATGCCGCAACTGAAGGAAGCGAAGAAAGTGAGCAGCCCGCACGACTGTGCGTCAGAGGCGCAGTTTATGCAGTTCACGAAGAAGCGGCTAAAGGAGGCGTTGGAGCAGCGTTTCGGACCTGACGTCCTCACACCTGCTGAGGAGCGGATGAAGAAATCAGATTTCGTCGTTGTCGTCATGCGAAAGATGTACCCCTACGGATCGAGGTTGAACACTCGAGCGTTGGAGATTGATCCAGACGACTTGATAGAGTATCATGAGCGTGAGGTTGGGATGTGGTTCCTCCGCGCTTGCCAGCAATGCAGGGAGGAGGGCGGAGACGCCGACAGTCTACACTGCGACATCATGTTGGTCGCCGATCATTGGGTTGGTGATCATTCGGGATGTGTCGACGGTAAGGAGGTTTTGTGCGAGAAGGCCGGTGGGTATGCACGATTGCCTTTGTATAGCCTCACGGACACAGTCTACGAGCTCATTCTGCGTGTTCTCGATAAACAATGCAGCACTAACATCACGTCGTACTACATCGAGTTTCGGCACACATCGACGGTGGAGACTTTTCAGGGCACCATCATTATCTATGCGAAGAAGTCGGTGCATTTCGAGAAGTCTTTCTGTGCACGTTTGTCGATCGCAGTAATTCGGTGGAACAGTCACTGCTGGCGCGACCCGCTCGGGTATGTTGCTCGCATTGCTGCGGGCACTTCCATACGTGCGAGACCAGGTTTCCGTCGACACTATGGTCACAAGGCGATCGACTGTTGGAAGGACAGATTAGCGGCGTCAGTGTTCAGTTCGGCTCATGTTTCAGATTGGGCTCGAGAGCTTCTGCGGCAGGAGGTTTGTCCTTATGGAGCCGGGCCATTGCCGCGTGATTTGTTCGTCAACGGTGGGGGCGACCCAGTGGAAGTCGTTGATGATGCTGCCTCAGGTTCCGACCATGAGGCAGTGGGGGAGAACCGTGTTTTCATCATCGGTCACGTGGAGGACGATGCGGTGCCTGCATGCGATGATTGGGTCCAGACATCGAGCTCCGAATCTGAGGGTGACGATATAGAGTTGTTCAGCATTTGACTGGTTGAATGGCTTTATCGTTGACCTTACATCAGTCTGGTGATCCGAATTTCATTAAGCATGGCGTTGTTCACACACATCTCATGGTGTCTTGTTTGTTACGCTACATTATGTCATATATATATATATATATTACTTTGTCCGTCTCTTAGCCTGTATATATATTTCTATTTTTGCTCAGTCTGACTTCCAAGACTGATGGCGATGCTGTATACTACCCCGTAGGGTTACATTTGTAATTTTGTTCGACTGAGGGCTAACCGTCAGACGAACCTGTGAGGAAAATTCGTGAGGGCCATATCTGTAAATATGAGAAATATAGGCCCAACAGTATTTCGAATTTCCTATACGTACCCTTGCTGCGAATAACAGACCCGGACTACCCCCATGATAGACAGGCCGTAATGGCCTAAGCTGATAGACGGTTCTATAGCCTATAGTTGGGTCCGGTAGAGGCCGAGAGGCCGAAACTGCAACGGGATTGGTCGGTTAGTCAGTCCGGTCTAGGTGTAGGTTAGATTAATGTACTCTATTAGTAGAATGAGGGAAATCGATTGGGGAGCAAGGGACTGGAACAAACTCTGTTATGATATTCGTTCGAGTTGGCTCATCATCAACATCATATCAATTGTGATCTTGCTGAGGTTCTTTATTGTGATGTTTGTTGGGAGTCTGTCGGAGAGTGAGAGTCATTGTCTGACCTCCGCCATGTGTGCATGGTTGAATTTCGCCGCTTATCCTTGTCTGTGTGTTGTTTTGACTCTGTCACCTCTCCCCCTCTTCTTATGCATGTGTAGGCGTGTTTGGGATTGTCTATGTGTGAGTGCCGAAAAAAATCGTCAGACAACCAAGTGATATATATATATATATATATATATATATATATATATATATATATATATATATAAATATATATATGATGAGTCGGTGAAACTCCGACGAAACAGTTTGCCACAGCCCCTCGTTTGTTGTCCTCTTCTTTCTCTCTGACTGCGGTTTACCGGGCAGTTCTGTTTGTGACGATATATATATATATATATATATATATATATATATATATATATATATATATATATATATAATAATGTTTGTTTTTTTTTTTTCCACACATCTGATGGTATTTTATGTCAGTTTTTTTAACTTGAATGGCGAGAGCGAGGATTAGAATCGCTTTTTTCACACATCTAATGGTACAATGATATACAATTGCAAAAAAAAACAAATGAACTTCAAATGAGAGATCGAGGCTTATAAGAAGAAGAAGATGATGTACACCAGGGAAACCAAATTTTACAAAATGCAATCCCTTCAAGTCACGACAATAGGAAATGTCAGTTTCAAGGCAAACACACAGACGGACTTACATACGTACTCACACTGAAGGCAAGCATACTCTCTCTCTCTCTCTCTCTATATATATATATATATATATATATATATATATATATCGTGTCGTGAAGCATTTACCGTCGTGCACGTCGACGTGGGCGCGCGTTTTCAGGAGGATCACATTGTCGTAGTTCAAAACCTCGAATGATTGTATCTGGCCATCGTTCCCGCATTGAGGTTTGGAACTCATCTGACAATCTCTGTCGGAAAACGGCGAACCCGCACAACCGAGAAAAAACGACATATCCATTGTAACGATTCTGCTTTGGTTCGAGATTTGCACGACCAATAAGCAGATTCATTCACTGTTGCAGATGTTCCTCCATCCCCGCAAAAGTCACTGCCTCCTCCAAAAGCGCTGCGGGTCCCGGCCACCGACTCCTAATCTCGGTGACTGTCAGCTCCTCGTCACGAAAAGGATCTGTATCTGTCCCATTTCCAAACACGACTACGTCGGCCCGCACGCCAGCCCTGCGTCGTGGGCGGTCCATGTATGGGAATGGGTGAATATTGTTCTGTCGCTTATATGTGAATTTTTAGAAATCTACAAAACAGAACATCACGGGCACCGATGACCTTAGTACTGTACCTCCACATAACGAAAACGAAAACAAATTTCAGAACGCAAAGCAGGCGAATAAAAAAAACTCAAAACGTATAACAAACACATGAGAGATGACGATTGCATATGTATACACAAAATGTGCAATCTTTGAAACCATCATTTTGTCTCTATCCAACAACGAAGAAACATAGGGAAAAAAAAATGAATGGTACTTATCGCTGGATCGCACTGCAAGGATAAAACATGGCAGAGAAATCCTCGCCATCAGAGACAAAAAAAGGCGGTGACACGACCAGGCGCCAGACGCCGTCCCAAGCGACCATCCCGTAGTGTGTGTATAATATGTGATGCACAAGGGGGAAGACGATACCATACATCAAATCACTGTCGACCGGTTTGAGAACAAAGGTGCTGAAGTACGTGGTCGGCTTAGACATTAGGACACGAACGTGTTCGATGGCGTGGTCACGAATAAAAGTCTCTGTAGTGAGTCTGACGACTCGTTCCTCCTCGACGCTGACAACGAAATGACGATCCACCTTCTTGTCTCCATTGCGGTATCCCACTGCATCGCCGACAGGATCTGTTACGGGAGTCATTGATTCGTAATAGTATACGGTGTCGCCGCCTGTCAGTTTTGTTGTGTGGTAACATCGAAAAATCATTGGCGCGCAATGCATGGCCGCTTTATTCGTATGACATTTGAAAAGTGTTGCAATTCACAGAAACCAACACCGTAAGTCATGAACCCAACGATCGAGTAACGAATAATGCAAACATGATATTCTGCATGTACCGTACGGGGAGGGGGAACGTCCTGCATACATATACATGGGATGAGCGGGTAGTCGCGATCTTGAACATTGTCCAATGTTGAAAACCTTTACGATTTTGTTCGTCAACCCTCCTGTTTCAGACTACGCATGAGACGAGCGGGATGATGGTTCGTTGGCACTTTGACACTGTTGTCCGCAACCGTCCTTTGGCAACACACTGCGCACATCTCCGTGGAGAAAAGTACGGCGTTGCAGCGGCCGGTCGAGTTTGGAGAAATACCATGCGTTGCGTGCTAACCTTTCCACATGCTCGGCCGCAACGACTGACACTATGCACCTTAACAAATGACCAATCATATCGAAGTCCGGGGGTTTGCAAGCGTCGGGAACGACATCTGAAAACTTTTTTGCGTGCATTACAACCTCATCAAGGCACTTATGGTCGTCGTACCCCAGCCCCGCCATGACCCTCAAAGCGAGGGTGTCATCGATGAACGCGAAGTAGACACGTGTTTTCGTGGCGACAACCCCTTCCCAGTGTTCAAAGTCTCTTTCGTTTTCAGTATCGCGCTCACACACTGTCTCTCTCACGACGATTTCCTTTCCATCCACAACCTCTTTCACAACAACAACTACGTCAGCCATGTTGTGTCGCAGGGTCGAATATGTGAACCTGACAATTATGAACAGTCTCAATGGCTGGCCGACGACAATGCGAAAGATGACGGGAACACAATGCGTACGATAAGCGACGGACACAATGAGTCGCTTCTTTCAGCTGGAAATGAAAATAATAATAATAATAATTACGAATAATAGTACGTTGGTTGGTTAGTTGGGTGGTTGGGCGGTTGGGTTAGGTGGTTGGTTGGGTGGTTGAGCGGATGGATGGGTGGTTGTGTGGCTGGTAGCTTGGTTGGTTGGGTGGTTAGGTGGACGGTTTGGTGGTTTTATGGGTTGGTTGATTGGTTGGTTGGGTGGGTGGTTGGGTGGGTGGTTGGGTGGCTCGGTTGTTGGGTGGTTGGGTGGGTGGGTGTGTCGCTGTGTGGTTAGGTGGGTGGTTGGGTGGATGGGGGGTTAGGAGGGTCGGTTGGTTGGTTGGGCGGTTGGATGGGCGGGCTCCAAAACATGGGGTGGTTGAGTGTTCGATTGGGGCTGGCGGTTGGTTGGGTGGCTGTGGTGGTTGGTTGGGTGGTTAGGAGGGTCGTACGTTTGACAATTTTGTCTGGGTGAGTGCGTTTGTGGATTGGTTGATTGGTTGGGTGGTGGGTGGGTGGGGGTGGTTTGGGTGGTTTGGGTGGTGGACTGGGTTGGTTGGTTGGGTGGTTGGGTGATGGGGTGGGGGGTTGATTGGATAGATTGATTGATTGATTTATTGATTGATTGATTGATTGATTGAGTGGTTAATTCATTGATTGTTTGATTGATTTTGTTTTTT